ATACCTTCTCCATCCATCTTCATCATACAAACATTCTTTTGGTCTTCCAGAAAAATTTTATCTAAATTAGTTTGTTTGCATCCTTGTGTGAAATGTCAAACAGTAAATCTACTTTGATACTAAAATCTTTCTCTCTAGCAATCTGTGACTTACTAGCTCTTCCTTTATTCTTTTTAAATTAAATTATATTCATCAACACATGCTTTCAAATTTGATACAATATGAGGCTGGTAAGTCAATGGAATCCTGGCCTTTTTCCAGATGTGAGCTAAACCATTAGATGTTGTTTTTGCACTGGCTGGAACTGTTTGTTTCAATGCTTTGTGATAGTGGAAAAACGTTTTTAACACATCAACCATCGTTGATATTGGATATTGGATATTGTTTGTTTAAGGATATTGTTTGGTAGATTCTTCTCAGGTTGACCAATCAACCATATTGCAGTTCGATTACAAGTTAAAGGAAAATTTAAAGAACTTATCTTTTCACTCATTTTCAGCAACAAGCTAAAACTAAATGATACCAAATTAAATTCAACTTGAGAAATTAAATATTAAAACTACAAACACTAAAGTAAGTTAAGTCACCCAATAATATTTAGCACTAAAAAACAAGATATTGGCATAACAGCTATAATTATTATTTTATAGGATTAAAATAAATAAGAACCTAAAAATCTTTAAATATTTCAGTTGTTCAGCAAAAAATTACAATTAATGAAAATGTTTTTCAATCAAAAACATTAGATGACAAGATGGCTTCTTGTCACATGACCAAAGAAGTTAGCTCATAAAAGACAATGGCACATCAAATTTGTTTAATATTTTATCTAAATTGAACATGGGATAAAATGAGAAAATTATTTAAGGCGTAATGCTATTATTGTAAAACTAAAAGGCCATTAAGCAACCTCTAAACATCAATTTAGTTTAATTATCTTTTGCACAGTAAATTTTAATGCCAATTGGCACAAAATATACTAGTGTGCATTCAGATCAGAGAAAAAAATTTTTTTCCAGTGTTTATGTGAACACCCCTAATATATGTATATATTATATATTAGGGGTGTTCACCTATATATATAAATAAATATATATATATATATATATATATATATATATATATATATATATATATATATATATATATATATATATATATATATATATATATGTATATATATATATATATATATATATATATATATATATATATAATATATGTATATATATATATATATATATATATATATATATATATATATATATATATATGTATATATATATATATATATATATACATATATATATATACATATATATATATATATATATATATACATATATATATATATATATATATATATATATATATATATATATATATATATATATATATATATATATATATATATATATATATATATATATATATATATATATACATATATATAATAAGTTAAATAATTTTTATAATCATAAAAATAATGCTAGCAAAATAAAAAATTGAGGAAAAATAATTTATACCAATTACTCAACAAATAAAAAATATAACTATACAGATGAATCAGCATACAAAACAGCATGAATTGAAAAGTTGTTGCTGTTTTCCAATAACATGAACAATAATATAATAATTACTAATGTCTAGTCTAATAACTAATGTCTAGTCTAATCTAGCTAGAACCTAGTCTATTAAATATTATTTATCAAATGTTATTGCAAAGTGATGGGAAACATTTTTTCATTATCAGTAATGGTGCTTATTATAAATGACGCAAAATGATTTTACTTATCTAGTATTATTGCAAAATAAACATAAAATATAACAAATAATAGTCACTATTGTTTATGTTATTGTCTTAACTAATTTTAGTCTAATCTAGCTTGAACTTAGTCTATTAAATTTTATTTATTTAATATTATTGCAAAATGATGGGAAATGTTGTTTCATTACAGTAATGCTGACATCTTTGATGACTTTTACAACTCAGAACAAAAATAGTCCTCCAAAAATTAAAAAAAATAAGTGAATTGCAATAACAGTTGTTAAATATTGAAGCATAAAATAAAAAAGTTTTATAACTTTGTTGAATGAAAAGTCGAGTTTTAGTTGATGAAATGATGATAGCTCACTTGAGCAGTGACCATGATAGCATTTGTAGAGGAAAAAAAGATATGCAATCTAACAACTATTGGAGGTTCGAACTTAGCAGCAAGTCATTTAAAATGCATTTTTTGACCTTCTTTAAAAAAAAAGAGAGGGCTTAATTAGAAGAACCAATCCAAATATGACAATAGTATTCCATACAATAAAAGGTAAAGAATGGAAAAAGAAAACAGCAACCACAATAAAGTATAGCAGATGCTAACTTTGCAATAGAATATATATATATAAATATATATATAAATATATATATATATATATATATATATATATATATATATATATATATATATTTGCTATTATATAGTCAGGGTAATGACACTCTTTAACCATATTTTAAGTTCCGCTAGACGCAGTTTTTCTGTAGCATAATTAGACGTAAATATATATATATATATATATATATATATATATATATATATATATATATATATATATATATATATATATATATATATATATATATATATATTCATGTTTGAATGATTAATAATTACAAAAAATTAAAAGATACATTAAAAACTCCAAAGCATCATAAATTTCAAAAAAAAAAACGAAAATATCAACATAAAAAACCTCAAAACAATCCAAAAATTTTATAAAATGATTAACAATATACCTGTAACTAATATTTTGTTGCTTTTTTTGTTGTAGAAGAATTGATGCTTTATCCAACAATGAGCAAACTAATAAACTCTATACATTTGAAGTATAGAGTTTATCAATTTGCACATTGTTGGATAAAGCATCAAAGATTCTGTTTATAATGTTACTAAAAATGCTTCAAAATTTTGTACTGAAAAACCACAAAAAGCTATATACCCTTGAGTCTCAAAATCATTGTGTAGAGCTTCAAAAGTTCTCTGTATCAATCTGTTTTAAACAATAAAACTTTTTTGTTTTGGAAGAAATAATAAAAAATACTCTTTTCACCCATCAATTCAAATTCACTGACTGTTCCAAAATCTGAACATATTTCATAGAAAGCCATCGAGTTTCAGCATTTTTTTAGTCAACTCAGCAACCAAACCAGTTACATGCACATTCCTTATGGGAGGCAGGTGATAATCAACTAAAATACAAAAAGTCCATTACATGCCATCTTATCGCCAGTTTCAGGTTTTTCAAAGCATTTATTCACAAGAGTAGCCCTGCTGCATCAGGGCTACTCTTGTGAATAAATGCTTCTCAAAAGTTTGACATATTATTAGTTGTAGTCTTTGTGGTTTTGTATTGAATGACAAATTTTGAGTGGATCTGTTCGAGAATAGCTGCTTATATATTGTAGGTATACAATCCTTTTAATTGTTGACATACCAGTACTGCTGATCCTCTCTTTAAAGTTTACTCTTTAATCCAGTGCACTCTGACACCAATGTATAACCTTGATAAGCTGACCGATATTCAATTGTAATTGCAGCAGAATACTGTTTCTGTAACAGGCTGGTAAGTTTCTGAAGCATGACTTCAGAAACTTACCAGCCTGTTACAGAATCACCAAGTTATACTATGACTATTTTCTTCTAAAGTCTCCTGAGAAGCAAGCTAAGAGTTACTTACAAGGTTGGCTCTTTGCTAAATCTTAACTAATTGAGGTTAACTGCTTTGATCATTAATCTTTTACTTTCTGATCAGTTTTTCATACTCTTTTACTTTAGTTGGGTGAAATTTCTAAAGAATTTCAACTTGTAAACATGTTAACAATGACCTTAATACAACTTACAAAAATATGATCAACTACATCTACCGAATTTCACTATATATACCTCAAAATGTTTCAGGAGGTTAGATGAAGAGTTAGTATATATGCAAGTACAACAAATAGCAAAGCTGCCTATTGTCATAAAGGTTTTCAAATAGTTTTTAAACAGACAGTCGATTAGCTTATTGTGTTGTGTGTTTAGGTTGTGTATTTTGTGTGTTCAATATGCAGCTTCGCGTCTTGATGCATGGCTGATATCTAACGCTAAGTGGTACAGGTTTTGTGATATTGTATGTATTATACAAATGATTTGAACCAATGAATATTATTACTTGTTTACTTTTTACAAAGTAAAAGTAAGGATGAAAAATAACAAAAGTACTGTAAAAGTAAATTATTAGTGTTGTAAAGAAGTTCTTTGCTACACTTCAACCCTGTTTACTGATTTATTTACTTTCTAGAATTTACAATGCAGTATAATGATTTATTTACAAAAATGCAACTGTTCCTTTGATATCTGTAGCGTATAAATCAATACAAATTAACATAAATGTTAAAAAATGCTAAAAACGATGACAAAAATGATGAAAAAATACAACATTTTGAATGCTGTCGATTAATGAATGTCTAGTAAACTTAAAAAGAAATAAAACACAAACTTTCCTGTGAAAAACAATTTCATACAACTATTTTGATAAAACACCTGATTGAGGTTAATTCCATAAACAAGATTATTTGATTTGAATTTTTCTAGAAACATAATTTAATAACTAAAAAGGGAAAAAAATTTTTTTTTAACATTTCACTGTCTATAATTTCATGTTTATTACTTCTAAGATTTTAAAAATATCTTAAAAATTTTTTTTTTGTAAAACTATACCTATATCTATATACTGCACGCCCACGAGTTTAAATAACAACCTACCTAATAATTCAGATATGGGATATCGGAAATATTAGGTATAACCAATGTTTGCAAAATAAAGATAAATAGCCCCTATTTATAACAATCATTAAAGAGTTTAAATTTATTTAATTTATATAAAAAATTAATTTATATAAAAACTTATTTAATAATATATTATAGCTTTGTAAATATTATAAAAAACAAAAAATTATAAAAAATGTTCACCTTTTTTTATTGCAGATGCTGCAAACAATCCTTTTCCTTTTGACAAAGTTTCTTTAACATATACATTATCAGATGCTAGCATTTCTATAAGGCTCATTTAGTAAGTGTTTTACAAGCTGCAAGATTTAAAAAACAATGATAAAACAGTACATCCACACATGCATCCTTCGCATGTATATACCTAAATGTATGTATGCTTATGTGTGTGTGTGTGCGCGCAAGTGTGTGTATGTGTGTGTATGCTAAACCTTGATTGATAAAAAAGTAAAACTTAGAAAGTTAGCCTTAAAAAAATATTTACAACTTTTATTTAAAAAACATATTCCCATTTTTAAATAGTGCAAAACTTTATATATTTTTTAAGTCACTTACAAAAAGGTCTGGTAATAATTTTTTAAAAGTAATCAATACTTGTAAGTAATAATTTACAAAACTTTACTATTTAAACATTTAATAAGACTTGATTGCTTAAAAAAATAAATCAAAAATTAAAAATTAAAAACTTTAGTTTAAAAACAATTTTAAAACTTACAAACAAATTTTAATTTTTTTTTTTGATTTTTCAATTATAATAAAAAAATTTAAAACGTTATTGAATTTCTCCGAGGCATAAAGATGCATTTGTGCCACCAAAACCAAATGAATTTTTAAGAGCTATTCTTCGAGTTGCGTGACCTAAAGACCATGGCACTGCTTCATTTGAAACATAGTTCAGATCAAATTCTCCATCTTTTGAAAATAAGTTCATTGTAGGAGGTATAACTTTATGATAAATAGCTAGTAAAGTAAACGCAGTTTCAACAGCACCTGCAGCACCTAACAGGTGACCAATAGCACCTTTAAATGAAGAAATTTTTATACTATAAGCATGTTTACCAAAGCATTTCTTAATCGCTCTGTTTTCAACAGCATCTCCAATTGGTGTAGAAGTGGCATGAGCATTCACATATTGGATTTGATCTGGAGTTAATTTTGCATCACGCAAAGCAGCTTTCATACAAAGATATGCACCTATACCATCTTCTCGTGGTGCTGTCATATGGTAACCATCTCCAGACATACCATACCCTATTACTTCACCATAAAGCTTAGCATTTCTTTTTATTGCATGTTGATATTCTTCAAGGACTAAAATTGCTGCACCTTCTCCAATGACAAAACCATCTCTTTTACTATCAAAAGGTCTTGATGAGGTACTTGGATTTTCAAAAAATGCTGTAGATAAAGCTCTAGCACGTGAAAAACCAGCTACAGCAACAGGTACAATAGCAGCATCTGTTCCCCCACATACCATAACATCTGCATCCCCATTTTTTATCAATCTCATGGAATCACCTATCGAATGAGCACCAGTTGTACATGCAGTGGAAACTGCATGATTCGGTCCTTGAAAGCCATATTTTATACTAATATGACCAGCAGCAAGGTTAATTAAAATTCTTGGAACAAAGTAAGGACTGACTCTTTTGTAACCAAATTCAGAAAATGTTTTAGAAGTATTTGCTATTGCTTCTAGGTCAACCATTCCCGATCCTACTGCAACTCCAGTACGCTGCTTTTCTTGTTCTGTATTAGGTTTCCATCCAGAATCTTCCAATGCAAAATCTGCTGCTGATAATGCATAAAGCATACTTTGTGAAAGAAACTTCATATCATTTTTAGCCACATTTACACAAAACTCACCCAAACTATTTCCTATAGGTACAAAAGCAGCAACTTTAGAGGGTATTGATTCGAAGCCTGGTCGATCATTGAAAACTACACCTATATGTCCGTTAACAAGTTTTTCCCAAGGTAATCTAGACCCACAACCTAAAGGTGAAACAATTCCAATACCAGTGCAAACTACACGCCTTTGGCAAGAAGTCGAGCTACACCTTCTTTTAAATGAAAAATTAGTTTTCTTTATATGAACAAATCTTTTCATGCCTTAATTTTCTTTTATTATTATATTATAAACTGAGAAGAAGAAAAACTTTTAATAAATAATAAAAATATTTTATTAATTTTAATTCTAAAAAACTTTTAATAAATAATGAAAATATAATATATAAAATAGTATATTGTAAAAAAATAATTTAGTACAAAACTAAAATATTCTTTAAAAATTGAATATTTTTTAGATTACTTAAAAGTTAAAACTGTTCTAATTAATGAAAGAAATAAAACAATCACATTTTTGCCTTTTTTTTTTTTGATCAGATTGAATAGGAATTTGTATTTCTTACAATAATTATTATAAGAATAACAAATACCAGTCCAAACTGTGGAAACTTTTTAGTTTAAATTTAAAAATAAAAATAATTGATAAAAAAAAGTAGAAAAAGTGAACTTGGAAGATTTTTTATAATAAAAGTTTAAGGAAAAGCTAAACAACTTTTGACGCTTCTTACAGGTATAAATTTAATGAAAAAAAGAATATAAACCTAAAATGAATACTTTATTTCAAGTAATTTTTTTAATGCTTTTCAAAATATTAAACTCAATTAAAAGAGAAAGCATTTTTTTTAAAAAAAGATTGCTTTCTCTTTTTAATTTGAAACTTAAATGTATAAAAATGTATAGGTGCGGAGTTTTGTTTTTGGCCACAATATATTTGGATAATGTACATGTTTTAGAAAAATTGTGCAAAACTTATTAATATAAAATGCAAATGTCAGAAAAATGCACAAAAAATGACATAAAAAATAAAACAAAAATAGATTTAAAATAAAAATCCTCATAGTTAATATATTACCTCATATATGCATAAATACATATATGTATATATATACATATATTTCTATATATATATATATATATATATATATATATATATATATATATATATATATATATATATATATATATATATATATATATATATATATATATATACTATATATATATATATATATATATATATATATATATATATATATATATATATATGTATGTATATATATATATATAAATGTATATATATATATATATATATATATATATATATATATATATATATATATATATATATATATATATATATGTATGTGTATGTATATATATATATATATATACATATATATATATACATAAATATATATATATATATATGTGTGTGTGTATATATATATATATATATATATATATATATATATATATATATATATATATAAAAACTACAAGCTAAATAAAAACAAAAAACTGATGTTTGACTAATATGGAACAAAAATATTTTTTGCCAGGGAGTCTTATTTTAAGGCTAAATGGATTTTAGAGCTAATCTTGTTACGATACAAGGATAAGATGTCAAAAATGATCACCTATGTTTAAAACCTGGAAAAAATTCAACTTATGAGTACTTTAAAGTAGTTTAATAAAAGAACTAATACTGTTATAAAAATAATTGATAAAATCAAGACCTATGACTTAATTTCAAACATTAATATATAAGTTCTTCATTTGCTTTATTATAATTGATCAATCAACAAAAAACACATAAATAAATTAAAAAGTTTTTTTTAATGAAATTAACACAATATTTTTCTTAAAGTGAACACAATAGTAAATAAAACATTTTATAATAATAAATTAACTTCAATAATATAATTATTTATACTTTCAAAGAATATTTTATTTAAAAATTTATATATTAGAAAATATTCAAGAGAAAAAACAAAAATTTTAGATTTAGAATTTGAAAGTTTCTCAACTATCATCTAATTTATTAAAATTTGAAAATGAAGAATAAAAAAAGAAAAAGCATCAACAAATAAGTAGAAACAGGAAAAGGAAACATTTCAAAAAATTTTTTTTTTTGCTTTTGATAGATATAAATAAAAATTATATATTCATTTTTCTATATTTACATTTATTCACATTATATTTACTTCATAACTATATATACTATACAATTATATACAAAATAGATTATTACTGTCAAAAAGAACTTTTATTTCATTATGTAATCATTATGTAAATGCTTAAATACCCCATTTTGCAAAAAAATAATTTTTGTTTTTTAAGCATCAAGATTTATCCTGATCCGGATCCATCAAGGGATTCATCCTGATACAGATATGTTTTTGCTTGGACAGATTTAGGTCTTTGTTGGTCTTCTTGATGAATTCTAAATTTAAAAAATTTAACAATACAATTATAAAAATAAAACAAGAAAAAAATTTAAAAACTGAAACTTTGAAAAAAAAAAATTATGAAATTAAACAATAGTAGTTGGCTACTGCTTTAGTTAGGGATACTTGGTCACTTTCTATTATCTCCTTATTGTAGAACATATTTTCTACCTATTACACAATATATTGCAGAATTATTTCTGAGCATTTATAGTTTGTATTATTTAATTTTTATAGTTATATATGTATTACTTTTTTTTCTTAATATTATAAAAAAAAACTTTTTTTTATGCAGACTTTTGCAGACAACTATTAATCATTATTTTGAATCATACAACCAACTTAATTATTATCTCAAATGAGTTATTTCATTCATTTACTTTCCCTCATTCAATTTTTTTTATTTTTTTTTATTTAACATAATAAAGTGTAGAGTTATTTTACTGTTAAGTTATTAAGTATAAAAACTTTTAAAAAATGGTTTTTTGCCAACGTTGATCAACATACATGTTAATAATTTTTTATGTATTTATTAATTAATAGTGTGTATGAATGTTTGAAATAGGTTTGTTTAGTTATGTAACTAAAATTTACTCTCTAGTTTTTTACTTCATTTTGTGTATTGTTTATTGTATTATTATTAAATAATATACTATTATTAAATAATATATTATTTACTCAAGTTATAATTTTGATACATTATTCATATCATCATTAAGTTACCAAAGACCATATAGTAAAAAGTGGGCGGAAACATCAAAAAATAGCATAATTGCCATTATGTTATTTTTTGTAGTATTTGTTATGTAATAAATAATGAGAAATAAATAATCACATTTCAAGTAACTAAAGTTGATTGACCTCTTTTTTAAATTATAAATGTATAAAAAAAACACATCTACAAAGATATAAAATTATATATTTAAGTTTTACTTAATTCAAAAAAATAATAAATCATAACGAATATTAAGTTATATTTAAATGTTACTTGATTTTTATTTTCAGCGAGCTTTAAATTGGTTACCTTCTGTGCTAATGTGCTATTTCATTTATTTATTTAATATTTTGATTGTTAAGAAATTGATTAAAAAAGATAAAGAAATTTAACTATTCAACGATTATATTTTCATAGGTACTTGCGAATGCAATTATTTTAAACTATAAAGTCTTGAGTATAGCAGGAAGTACCAAATTTGATTCCCACCATGCTCTGGTAGTACTGTCAACTCATTTCTCAGTCAGTAGTCTTGTACCTCAAAGTTAAATTTTTTGAGCTGTAGGACTAAAAGAGGAAACTAAAATAATGTATAAATGTGGTTAGAAAATAAATAATGTATAAATGTGGTTAGAAAATAAATAATGTATAAATGTGGTTAGAAAATAAATAATGTATAAATGCGGTTGGAAAAATATATTCATTAAATAAAAAGCCCATGATGTAATTGCATTAATAAAAGAAATTATATCTAAGAAGAATAATAAAACTAAAATTATATCTAAGAAGAATAATAGAACTAAAACTATATCTAAGAAGAATAATAGAACTAAAATTATATCTAAGAAGAATAATAGAACTAAAATTATATCTAAGAAGAATAATAGAACTAAAATTATATCTAAGAAAAATAATAGAACTAAAATTATATCTAAGAAGAATAATAGAACTAAAATTATATCTAAGAAGAATAATAGAACTAAAATTATATCTAAGAAAAATAATAGAACTAAAATTATATCTCAGAAGAATAATAGAACTAAAATTATATCTAAGTAAAATAATAGAACTAAAATTATATCTAAGAAAAATAATAGAACTAAAATTATATCTAAGAAGAATAATAGAACTAAAATTATATCTAAAAAAAATAATAGAACTAAAATTATATATAAGAAGTATAATAGAACTAAAATTATATCTAAGAAGAATAGAACTTATTGAAATCTTTTATAATAATTTACATTAAAAAAAAAAAACTTTAGAGTAAAATTTATACTATTATTAGTCTATGAATAAATAAATATTAAAATAAATATAACACAAAATACACAAAATATTTATATAAGTATATAATTTTAATTTATACGCCAATGTTAAAAAAGATTTTTAAAAAGATTTAGAACTTTTTATGTATTAAACTTAAAATTTGTACTCTGATTACTTTTGTTAGAAAAAATAAAAAATTCCAACAACAACAATGTGAAAAATTCCAACAACAACAATGTGAAAAATTCCAACAACAACAATGTGAAAAATTCCAACAACAACAATGTGAAAAATTCCAACAACAACAATGTGAAAAATTCCAACAACAACAATGTGAAAAATTCCAACAACAACAATGTGAAAAATTCCAACAACAACAATGTGAAAAATTCCAACAACAACAATGTGAAAAATTCCAACAACAACAATGTGAAAAATTCCAACAACAACAATGTGAAAAATTCCAACAACAACAATGTGAAAAATTCCAACAACAACAATGTGAAAAATTCCAACAACAACAATGTGAAAAATTCCAACAACAACAATGTGAAAAATTCCAACAACAACAATGTGAAAAATTCCAACAACAACAATGTGAAATTTTTTTTTGACTAGAGCACATTCAAAGTGAAATCTGAAATTCAAAAAACTTAAAATAATAAAAAAGTAATAATAATAATAAAAGAATTTTATGAACACAAGATGTTACCTTAAAAAGAAATTCACTAAGTTTGTTAAACAACTTTCTGAATATCCTGTCATTGTTTCAAGTAGTTGATTCCAGCTTGGAGTTATTTTTAAACAAATACGAGAAGCAGATATTGCAGCTGATGCAACCAACGAAGGCAAAAAATCATTAAAATAATGATCTGAAAAAAAATTCACATAAAATACTTAATGTTCTTAAAAACAGATCAGCAATAAATTAGTAAAAAAAAACATTTTTTTCGTCAGCTCTCAGCTACATCTCTTTAAGAAGAGAAATTTTTCCTGAAAAATAAAACAGAATATCAATCTACAGAGTAATCTGAACATTCTGAACGTTCAAATCTGAATTTCTGAAAGTTCTGAATCTGAGCATTCAAAAGCAGTAGTGGTAGAGGTAGTAACCTTGCTTCGTAAATGAGAAGTTCTGGGTTCAAAACCTAGAAATACTCCAATCAACTTGTTTCTCCACACAGCAACCTTTTTGTTCAAGGTTTACACTTTGGAGTTGAAAGAGAGTTGTAACCATAATTTAAAAAAGTTCAAAAAAAAAAAAAAGGAAAATAGTTTAACAACGAAAATTCTCAACAACAAAAAAAAGTTAAGCATAAAATTTACAAAAAACTTTTACCAAGTTTTTTTTAAAACATTGAAATTGCTCAAAAAATGAAAAACAAATTTTGCCAGCTTTATTTCAATTATTAAATTGATTATTCATTTTTTGGAACTTGAAAGAAACATTTACTTTGTCATTTTTTTAAATTATTTTGTTAGGGATTTTAAAAAAACATTTGTCCATTTTTATTTGATACATTTTATTTAGAACTTAAATGAAACTTTTGTTTTGCTTTTTTTATTTTACTACTTGTCTTGATAAGAAGCTCATAACCTGTCTGATTGCTTGGAGGTGCATTTGAGCTTGAAGAGGATTTCACTTCTGCTATAGCATGCAGCTCACAGTGGCTGGTGATTTTTAACTCAATATTTTTCGAAAAACTCATTTTTCAGCTAATTATCAATAATCTAGATCTTCCTTTATTTATGAATGGCAATGTACTCATTGAGTCATCTACCCTATATTTTCTAGGATTAATTTTTACTTTCCATCTTTCATGGAAACAAACCACTTTACAATACTTGCTAATTTCTTACCCCAGATTCTCTATAAATTCTTCATTATCTCTATAAATCTCAAACTCGTCCTTGTTGCCATATCTGGGGCAGATCTTCCAATGATCCCTTTTCTCTTTTAGACAAGGTGCAAAAACGCATTGTAAACATATTTAGATCTGGATTTGCAACCAACCTCCATCCATTATCAAATCGTTGTAATGTTGCTTCTATTTCTCTTTTTTATAAATACTATAATGGGCACTGTTCTAAAGAGCATCTCCTGTGCTATCTACTAAAATTTATTCTCAAGTTACTTTTCATTAAAATAAGTCTCAACCTTTTACTGCTACTGTTCCTAAGTGCTCTAAAAATTCTTATTCGTCTAGTTTTTTTTTCTTTGAAGATTGGTTCTTTGGAATTCGCTTCTTTCATCTTGTTTTCCTAATTCATATAATTTTCAATATTTTTAAGTCGTCTGTCATCCGTTATGTTGCTCTATAAACTTTATCTTTTTCTTCCAGTAACTTCTAACTCTAAGTGGTTTTTGTAACTTCCAACTCTAGTGGTTGCTTGCAGCCTTGTTGAAAGTGAAGATGTTGAAAAAAAAAAATCTGTTTTGTTTAAAAATTAAATAAAATTTTTATTTTTTTCGCTTTTATTTTAATTGTTTTGTTTAAAATAAAAGGTTTGTATTTAGAATTTAAATAAACGTTCTTTGTGCCGTTTTTATCTTATTTACTTTATTAAGAATTATAAAATAAAATGTTGCTTTTCCGTTGTTTTTTTATTGTTCTATTATAAAATTTAGAATTAAAATTTTTGTTTTTCATTTCAATTATTCTATTTAAAATTTAAATACTATTTTGTTTTTATCCATTAGGTCTTTAAACTAACTTGTCCAGAATTTAAATAAAACGGTTGTTTTATTGTTTTTTTTAACTATTTTATTTAGGATTCAAATGCCCTTGTTTCTGTTTTTATTTTAACTAATTTAATTAGAAATAAATAATTATTTTAATTTTTAAGTTTTGCTTTTTTTTTTAAATAATTTAAAATAAGAATTTTAATAAAATGTTTGTTTTTTCGTTTTTATTTTAACTATTTTATTTAGAATTAAAATAAAATGTTTGTTTCGCCATTTTTGATTTATTTGAAAATAGCAAATAAAATTTAGTTTTTAAATTCTGAGGTTAATAATTTTTGCTGTTCCAGATCTTCAGTCAAGGTATCAGCACTTCTTTGTGGCAGTAGGCTTTAAGATAGTCAACATATATACTGAAGCCCCTGGCGATAGGCTATTTAAGTATGATGTCAAAATACTTATCTAAATATATAAAATATCAAAATCATATATTTACTAGGGTGCACCCAACATTCAAAAATTGATCTGTCCCTATTCTTAAAACTTTCTATTGGTTCTCACAGGACAAACCGTTAAATTTTTTAAAAATTGAATGAGACTTAGGGCCATATCAAGTCTGAAAATTGCAATGAGAAAAAAAAATTTCAAATGTATGTCATGTTGGGTCTCAAAAAAAGCAAAGTTTTATAAAAATTCCTAAAATTAATAAAAATTTTACACAAGAATTATTTTAAGTTTTATTGCATAAAAATTATTATTTTTTAATAAAAAATTAAAAATTAACATTTTTTCATGATTTTTGTCAAATTTTTTGAAGGTACTTTTAACAAAAAATTATATTTATTTTTAAAAACTTTTATAAAGTTTCACTTCTTTTGAGACCCAACATGACATACATTTTAAAAACTTTTTTTTTTGCATTTCAGATCTTGTTGCAAATTTAAGACTTAAGGTGACCCCCCTAAATCTTATTTAACTTAGAAAAAATTTAACAGAGTTTCTACTGCATACAATATAAATATACGTATAATAAATTCAATTATTTATTATATGTATATTTATGCGTATATTTATACAGTTGTAACTTTAATACTGTTTATATATTAAAATCATTATTAACTGTTTATATGATAAACAATAAGTTTAATCATTCATTAAAATTTATTTAAAAGAACAAATTAGTTTAAATTTTTTGCACTTAATTTAGCGTTAAAAAAGCAAAATGAACAAAAATTTGAAGAGCCATGATAAAACTGTAATGATAATGATAAAAACCATTTCTGAATTTTGTTTGTTTTATTGCCTTAAAATCATAAGTATTTATGTAAACTTCGTTCATGAAAATGAATGAAGTTTACATGAATAAAAATGGATCACAAGACTTTCTTGTGTTAAAAAATATCTGCAAAAGAATTAAGATAACTAAAGTGATTCATGTTAAAGATGTTAAGATAACTAAAGTGATTCATGTTAAAGATGTTAAGATAACTAAAGTGATTCATGTTAAAGATGTTAAGATAACTAAAGTGATTCATGTTAAAGATGTTAAGATAACTAAAGTGATTCATGTTAAAGATGTTAAGATAACTAAAGTGATTCATGTTAAAGATGTTAAGATAACTAAAGTGATTCATGTTAAAGAATTAAGATAACTAAAGTGATTCATGTTAAAGAATTAAGATAACTAAAGTGATTCATGTTAAAGAATTAAGATAACAAAGTGATTCATGTTAAAGAATTAAGATAACTAAAGTGATTCATGTTAAAGAATTTTCTAGAATTATAAGAGTGAATATTATCAATAGTTTTAAAAAATTTTGGTTTGCAAAAATATATTCTAGTTAACTCATAGCACTATATTCAAAAATGACTTTAGTGTACTTCTTGTACACTTAAATCATTTTTGCCAAATGCATTAATTTTTCTTTAAAAATGGTGATAAATGACTCAAAACATTGGCTGGCGACTGACATTAGCTAAATTTTTGCACTCAGTCGCCAGATGGACAACCGACCAAGTGCAATTTACTTAATTGGTCATTAAAGTGTAGTTTATTTCAGTGGTCATTAATTTAAAAGTAAATACAATTACCCATGAGACTTTAAAATATATATACACACACACACATATATATATATATATATATATATATATATATATATATATATATATATATATATATATATATATATATATATATATATATTTATATATATTTATATATATTTATATATATTTATATATATTTATATATATATATATATATATATATATATATATATATATATATATATATATTTATATATATATATTTATATATATATAAATCAGGGCACAACAAATCGTTTTTTTTTAAATAAACCTTGACATTCAATTCTTTAATTATGGATGAATGTCTAATTTAAGAGTTATGACAAATAACAGGGCCAACAATGTGGGGAGGGGGCAAATGCCCCCTTCCCCCACTTTTTTTCTAAAGACTCTTTTTTTTTTTTTTAAGAGAACTCCTAGAGGATATTTTTTTCAGAAATAGATGGTTATGTACTTGGGTGGGTAATAAATTTTTTTCTTCTTGTTACTGGCTTTAAACATTGTGTATAAATGATTGGGATAAATTTAAAGGGGGCAACTTTATTAGGAAAATTACAGGTTCCCTAAAATTTTGGAGAAAAAAAGTTTTTCAAAAGTAGATAAACCTGGTGCTGAAAAGCAGCGAAATTTTATAAAAAATTTAAAAACAATAATCTTTTTTTAAAAATTATATTGCGGAAAAAAAATGTTATCAAAAAACTTGTAAAAACTTGTAAATTTTTTTTATTTTATAGTTATTATGCAATAAAATAACAATCTTTATATGAGAAAATTATTATTTTTTAAATTTTTATAAAATTTCACTTTATTTGAGTACCAACATCACATAATTTTAATAAATTTTTTTTTGAATAATAATAGGGCCTGCTAACTTTTGTAATTAAAGTTGCGGATGGAAGACATTGTTCAATCCATAAAAGTAAATACTTTCCTAAATAAGTACATAAAAACCAATTTTTAGGCCAGGTTAACAACTCTAAAAAAAATTCTTATGACCCACCCTATTGTGCACCTCCACTTCGAAACCCATGCCATTGTCATAAATAAGCTAGTTTTACTTTCAATTCTTTTAACTTTTTTTTTTTTTAATTATTTATT